TGATGGAGGCGGCAGGCTTGGCATTGTCCGCGTGGCAGGTGAGGTTGAGGGGGTCCCCCGCACGCAGGCTGATCACGGGCCCGCCCAGGATGACGGGGTCATCGGGTGGCACTGTGGGGGAGCGAGGGGTCAGACTGGGCAGCCCCTGCCCTGCGGCACGGACAGGCGGGCGCCACAGGGCCTGATGAACGTGTGGGCCGCCCCACCGCCCCGGACCAGCGCGTCGGCCGCGCGCAGACTGCAGGGGCGGCCCCCTCCCTACGATGAGCACCTCCTTGGCCTGGGCATATCTGGAGTTTCTTTTCAACCTTCTCTGAACGAAACCGTTACATCTGCTGTGGGTTTAAGCCCCACGACAACCAGTGAGGAAATGCTGTTAGTGCTCCGACTCCGGCACTGACGGCCCGGCTTGGGGACAGCGACAGGGTTTTTTGCTCCCCAGGCCCTGCCTTGCAGCCTCAGCTGCAGGCAGCTCCCTCTCTGCCCGGGGCATCCCAAGCCCTTCCTGGTCCACTCTGGCTTCTCTGGGAGGGGGGGAGAGGCCCGCCTGGCCCAGGTAACCACCGGAAGCACCAACCTGCGGGCCAGTCGCCCCAGCCCTGGGCAGTGACCTGGGCTTCTAAGACCTCAGCCCTGCTCCTAGGGCAGCCAGCCCTGGACAGCAAGTGATCTGGCCTAGGGAGGATGGTGGCCTCCTCCAGCTCCACCTGCCCTCGGACAGAGCCAGGTCCCCCTGCAGGTCCCGACTGCCAGGCCCTCAGCAAGGGACAGGGAAGACAGACCAGCGCACGCCTCACACCTCTCGTCAGAGCCCTCGGCCCACTCGGCGCCGGTGTGGCCGAGAACAGAGGGTGGCCAGTCAGGGCTGCCACACAGAGTGGGCGTGGCTAGCTGCTGAAGGAGGAACTGCAGTCTTCACCCTGCCAGGCCCTTCCCTGGAGCAAGGAGGGTGGGTTCTAGAGCCTGCTGGGGGCCGGGAACTGGGGGAGAGCTGAAGCTTGGCCCATTGTGTCTTCCAGAGCCTTCCGGAGAACTTTCAGAACTCCTGTTGCCAGAACAACTCTGGCCAACTGAACCCCAGTCTTTGGGGTGCTAATCCCAGGCATCAGCCTGCTTCCAGCTCCCGGGGGCCAGGGGCCCGGGGCCCGGGGGTGAGGACCGCTGGGTGCCCTGATCACAACCTGGAGGCGGGGAGGCCTTTCTGGAAACGGCCACGAACCGGCCTCCCCCTCGAGTGCCCTTTGGAACGTGGGATTAGAGGGAGGGGTGAGGGAGCGTTGGGCGTACACACTCACCCGTGCGCACACGCGCAGCCTCAGAACGGGCCCTGATTACCTCTTCCCGAATCAGCATTACCAGGCTGGCTATTCATGGCCCTGTGATTATTGATTGGCCTTCGCCTCGCTGCACACCAGATGGGGTGGGCGGGCGCGGGCTGCATAGCAATCAGTGGCCTGGCAGCTGCGCCGGGGACTCGGCAGCCCTCCCTGCAGGCCCCATGCAGTTGGGGTGAGCCCACAGCCTCCCCAAGTGGTTCCCGGCACACAGCAGAGTGTGGGCTCCCAGCCTTACTCTCGCAGAGCCAGAGAGGCACGCAGGCAGCTGCCCGTCAGAACGGGGCGTGACTGGGGACTGAGGCTGGGGAGGGCCTGAGTGGACGGCCTGGACGCCACAGCCTTGCATCCCATGGGCAGCCTGGGCGGCCCCGTCCCTGCTGCCCCCTCTGCAATACTTACGAAAGGGAGGGGGTCCTTGGAACTTGGGACCCACGTCACTCAGTGGCTGGCCCTGCTACCAGGACCTAGGCAGGCAGCAGGGACGTGGGGACGCCACCTGACCAATAGCCCTGTGACCGTGGTACGTGCCGGGCAGGCCACGTGGGAGGAGGCCTGCCGTCGAGGGTCAGAGCGCTTCTGTGGAGAGGCAGGGAGGGGTGACAGAGGAGACAGGCCAGAGGGCTCAGGCAGAGGCCCTGATGTCCCGAGAGTGAGGCCAGGCAGGCTGGGAGTACCCTGGCTCCAGCCACCGGATGCGGGCTCTGGGCTATGCCTGCACTTCTCATTCCCCTCCTTGTAGACGAGGTTCGCAGCCCAGCATCTAGAATGGCTACCAGCCCACGGTTGCCCCGAGCGTGCCCACGAAGGCCTCGACATGGCCGCAGCGATCGCAGGGTCCTTCCCACAGGACACCGGCTGGATGGGAAAAGCTGACACTGGGGCCCTGGTTGCCCCAAGCCAGAGGACCTCGGGTGGACCTGCGGAGCAGGGTCTAGGGGCGGCAAGGAAAGTGGACCCTTGTGCTACCCCTGGGCCCTCCCGAGGCTGATCTACATTTAAACAACCCAGAGAGTGCGCACGCACGCTGGCGTCTGAGGAGCAGCCAGCAGGTGAGCGCCGTGAGGAGGGCTGCCTCACCGAGGTCTCTCCTGGAGCTCCCTGTTGGGCCAAGCGACCTGAGGCGTCTGTTGCGGCCCGGGCACCTTTGGTTTGTCTGTGCCGCAGCCTAGAGGGACGCGGGTGCTCTCGACTGTGACCCCCCACTCCCCCGCGGAGCGCTGGCACGCGGGGCAGGGTGGCGTGCGTGTCGGGGAGCTGAGCTTGGCTGGCAGCCCGGCTTTCTGAGCGTGTGACTGTGGACAAGTTAGACTGACGGCCTCAGCCCTCGTCCGGCTCTGCGGGTGGACTTGCCTCGCAGGGTTACTGAGTGTGAGGGTTACCTTACGATATGAAGACGGTGGCGACAGCTTTGGAAAGGGCCGTGCGAGGGTGGCCGCGCCCCGTTTCTAAGGACAGGGTTCAGCTCGTGCTTCTGTGGAAGGTGTGTGCCCAGGGCCTCGTGTTCCGTGCTCGGTATTCTTAGAAGCAGGAAGTGTTAAGACCTCCACTTTCTAGGCTGGAAACCAAGGCTCAGAGGGCAGATACCTGGCTAAGCTCACGCGGCTAAGGCGGGCCAGAAGCTAGACCGGGTTGGAGACCCTGCAATTCGGCCGGCTAGAGCAGAGCTGCTGGCAGCCCCTTCCAGCCCGCCCTCGTTCTGGGCCTTTTCGGAAGCCCTGTGGGCTGGGTTTCGGAGGCTCAGAAAGCTTGCGCCTGACTGCAGCTGGAGGCGCGGTTTCTGTAGTTCTGTTCGCGAGCTCCAGTCCGTAACCCTCAAGTTCTCAGGTTCCCGGACACCTGCAACCCCAGCCTCTGGTTTCCTGACTTACACAGATGCGCCACCTCATGGCCAATACGCAGAACTGCAGGATGTAAAGCCGAGGGTGGTGCCTGGTCTGGGGTCTGTTGGTTAGTGGTCAGAGTGGAACGTCCCTTGAGAACCCTCCACCTCCCTGTGGCTCAGCACCCTCATTTGTAAAATGGAGACTAAAGTAAGACCAGAATCGACCATGTGGCTCGGTGGTCAGGACCATGGGGTGGGCTTCCGAGGGCCCGTGTTGGTGCTGACCTCTGACCTCTGGGCAAACCCGGAGCTCTCTGCAGAGTGGGTTTGGGAGAGGGGCCGATGGAGCCTCTTGTCCCCTATGGCTGCCAGGGCTGAGGGCCCTCAGGCTGCTGTGGGGCTGCCCCCCACCCCTCCACTGCAGAAGAGCGGCCGGGCCTGGCGGGGCTCTCCCCTTCACCATGGCTGCTGCAGTCACGCTCCCTGCCCACGGCCTGGCCCTGCTCCAGAACCAGCTCCTCACCGTGCACGGCGCCCCACGCCTCCTTGGCCTGCCCGGCCCTTGCCGATCCAGGCAGGCCTTTTCCTGTCTGCAGCTCCGCCGCGGCTCCGTCTCTGGGATTCTCCCTGCCTGGCTGGGATCCTGCTGTCATCGGCTCCTGGCACTGCTGCCTGGCAAACTCTTGCTCATTCCTCCACTCAGGTGGGTGCCACCTCCCCCAGGGAGTCTTCTCTCCACCTCAGCCCCTCCTTCCTGCAGCATCTGCAGTACTGGAGACCATGTGCCCACCTCCACGGGCACGTGGTACCGGCACCCTGGCCTCCGCAGGCGCGTGGTGCCGGCACCCTGGCCTCTGCGGGCGCGTGGTGCCGGTGCTATTACTGTCTGCTGGACCCTCTAGGCTGTGGCTCTGAGAACTGGTCCCTGCTGGATCTCCAGCCGGCAGGGTATGCTTCAGAGACACCCGTGCCTGCTGCGAAGTGACCTCTCCCTTGAGCACCTGGTTGTCCCTCAGACCCCGGCCCACCACACCTAGGTTGCTCTGGCCTGTGGCCTGTGTCAGGTCCCTCTACTGTGGCCGGCCTCGGACTGTCTCTGGACCCAGGTGGTCACAGGCCAAGGCCCCGGTGGGCAAAGCTGCAGCGTGTCCCCAGTCTAGGGCGGAGTCAGGGCGGCCTGCAGGCTCGGAACTGCAGAGTAAGCGGAGCCTCAGGCCAGAGAAGTACTGGAGTGCGAAAGCCACGTCGTTTTGCATAGAAAACCCGAAAAATGCATCATGACTTTCCTGACAACTGATAATACCCGAACCTCAACTTAAAACGGAAATGCAGTGGACACAGAGGCCCATAGCGAGCGAACGTCTGGTTTTAAAGACGCGGTCCTGGGCTGCTGGTAAGAGCACTGCAGACGGCCGGGGGTGCAGAGACACGGCAGAGCGGCACCTCAGTCGGGATGACAGAGGCTGAGCAGCAGGGGCCACCCCGATGGGGCTGCTGTCGTCCAGCCTGGAACTGAGGCTACGTACTCTCTGCTGTAAATGGGACGTTTAAGCTCAGAATAATGCGAGCTTCGACACGCTGACTTTTAAGTGTTTCGATATTTTCACAACTGCTTGAATGTTCTGGGAAAACGTAAGCATTAATAGAAGCACATAAAAGAAGCATTTCTGGCATGCGCTCCCCTCTCGCCTTGGGCTGTCTGGGTCCACCTTGGTGCTGTACAAATCCTGCCTTTAGTATTTTGGTACTTTGTTTCTCACAGATTTTTTCATTCACCTTGATGTTTAAAAATGTTGCATTGGGACCAGCAGTTAGCGTAATGGCTATGTCGCTGGATTCCCACGTAGTCGACCGCGGTTTGCATCCCGGACCCGGTGGCTTAAACTCACGCCGGGCACGTGTGCGTGCGTGCCCAAGATCCCAAGAGGAGAATAGAGGAGAAGGGATTGTGG